TTAGCTCTATCCACTGTACCATGTGAAATGTTTTACATGTATTATCTCATTTAATCTTCAAGGTAGTCCTGTGAGTTAAGAACATAAGTTAAGAACCTATTCTACCTAAGATGTAGAATAACTGGCCACAGGTCTTACAGTTAAATCATTGTTAGCAGTGGTATTCAAGCTCATCTCTCTTGACTCCAAATCCAATACTCTTTCCAATAAAACTTGCTGGCAAAACTAATGAATAAATAACAACACCAACAAAAACAAATCACAGAGTCGAACCAAGGAAGATCTTCCCAGAAACGGAATCCTTTTTTTAAATGAGTGATAATATATTTTATTAAGCCTAGGTTGTATGGCAAATACCTCCTCCTCAGAATGCTCAGGGATTTGTGAATGTAACTTTTAGCCTTGTGTCCTCAATTTGAAAGGCAAGAAAATGATTGAAATTCTAAAGGATTTTGATGAGTGAAGAACAGATGGTAGTTGCAATTGAGATCAGACAAGTATGCAGAGAAATGTAAATGAATTATTTAGAAGCAAACAACCCAGCTAAGAAATAGATGCCAAAATATATCAGCTAAGATAGTGAAGTATTTTAATAGATTTGTTCAACTCTCCATGTATGATATATAAAAGTAATGTGTGTATATGTATGTGTATATATACACATATGTTTATGTGTGTATATTTAATGGATGCAAGCATACATGCTGATAACATATGCACATTACATTCTTCTACATATATAGATATACATATATCCTAAGAGTTTCATTATTTGTTCTGATTCTAAGACCAAATCTTCAAGACATTTTAAGAGCTTTAAGGGACCATATAATTAATAACATATAATCCTTTTCTGTTATAGGTAAGGAGAATGAGACCTGTAGAAATAAAATAATTTGTCCAAGGTCATACAGGAAGCAAAAGGCAGAAGTAGGATAGAAACTGTCTTTCAACAAGATATCAAGTGAAATTAACTATACTATGCTGTCTTTTCCTTAAGAACCTTTGTTCAGAATGTAAACATATCTTTGAGAGCTATTTGTTTTTAGTGTAATAGGAAGGGTTTTCCTTAAAAGTTGGGTTCATTGAAGATGTTACTTTGTATACTGTAGTTGAAAAAAAAAACTACTGTGAAACACACACACACTTGCAGAAACATCAAAATGTTTTCCTAACATTTATATTTATATTCTGAAACATAATATGAGATTAGATATTGAGGAAGATAGATGAAGAAAATTATGCCACAATTTCTCTGTAAAAATTTTGAGATGAAATTGACACATTTCTGGGAAAGGGGCAAAGAATACAGAAAAAAATGAGAAACATAGTTTTACGATCTTGACTTTTATTTTGGACACTTTTTTCTCATATCTGATTTTCTCATAGATAAAACTGATTCAGAATATTTTATATTTAAGAACATGTAGCTATCTGATCAAACTGCTAAAATGTGCTTTTACATCATTGCCATACTTATCCAATGAAATTCAGGTTACTTTGAGCCTTCACAGGTTTTTCAAACACAAACTGGGCAAATTAGGTCCTTTACATGAAAACGCATTTTCAAAACGTGATTCCAATCTGCTTTTGGTCTTGCCATGGTTATTGTTTTTCCTCTATAAGACAGTCTAATGTTTTGTTTTGTTTTGTTTTGTTTTAATTTTCACCACTGAAATTTCCCTGAAGACTTTACTGTTATTATTCATCATCATACTTTTTTTTTAAACACTCTTTACTCTAGCCAGTAAAAACAAACAAAGAATTACTAGGTTTCATAATATTGTTTTAATTCCTTATAGGTGGAAAGGGGAAGTATGCTGCAAACAATAGCTAAGTTGTAGTTTCAAAGCCACTTGGGGAATTATTTTCATCTTCAATGATAATGACAACTTTTGTGGCTTCTAGAAGTAACTGCAAAGGCTACTGTTCACAAAACTTTATGCAGAATATGAATTAAGAAAAAGTTTGGTGATGAAACATTCATAGTATTTATGATAAGAATAATTCTTGTATATTAGGATATTTGTTCCTATTAGTTATTTTTCAGTTATGTCCAACTCTTCATTATCCCACTTGGAGTTTTCTTGGCAAAGCTGCTGGAGTGCTTTGCCATTTCCTTCTCCAGCTCATTTTACAGATGAAGAACCTGAAGCAAACAGGATTAAGTGACTTGTCATTAGTGTCTGAAACTGGACTTGAACTCAGGAAGATGTGTCTTCTGGACTGTAGGCCCAGCACTCTATCCACTGCATCAGCTAGCTACCTTTATATTGAGACATAGAATATTAGTATATAATGCATGCTATGGGCAAACTAGAATACATCCAAGCCCTGTGTGTTATAAGGGTGAACTCAGTGGCTCTGTAGACAGACCCCTGTCCCCTGTTTCTTGTCAGGAAGACTTGAGTTCAAATTCAGCCTTACACCCTTACTAGTTGTATGACCCTAGGCAAGTGGTTTAACCCCTGTTTGCCTCAGTTTCCTCATCTGTAAAATGGGGATAATAATAACACCTATCTTCCAACGTTGCTGTGAGGATCAAATGAGATAATTGTAAAGCACTTAGCACAGTACCAGGCACACTTTCTAAATGCTATTATTATAATCATCATAATTATTAAGACAAAATGTTCCATATGAGCATTAGGAAATATGTCTTCCCTATCTGCTCAAAACAAACACATGCATACACAAGGAGGTGGATCTGACAAGAAAAATACAGAAAACCTTTCTGAAATTTGGAGATAACATGGATTTAATTCCAAATCCTGTTATATTAAAAAAAGATAAAGCTACATTGTCTCGTTATCACCACTTGTCCTTACCATTGTAGCCTGGAAATAATTTTACTTGATAAAGAAAAAATAAAGAATGTATTAATATATGTTTGTTGCAAGGATGCATTATTTAAAAAAAATAAATACCACTAAGAGCTAAGTGCTGCCCTGCATGTTTGAAGACAAATTTAGATTTTTAAAAATAGATTCATAATCCTTTTCTTTGTTTCATTCTGACATCCTAGCACTTTTATACTTGCATTTGTCCACACTTGATCTCATTTATTCAGCCTCTGCTTTAACTTGCACATACTGGATTTGGTATTGCAGGAAATGTGTCAAAAATGATGCTACTTTAGTATCCCATGGGGAACAATGCTGTTGTTGAACTATTCTCAGTGAAGAATTTCTATCAGTATGTGGCTATATGGAAAGGCCCTTGCACTCTGCATGGTGAATCAGAGAATATGAATCCTCAGTGATTTCTCAGAGAAAAGGAAATGGTGACATCAGAGGGAAAACTACTACTTTTAAAAAAATTTCCATGACATATTTTGAGCAGAATTGTTTTACTTGTTTGCTTTGTTTCTTAACATCAGCACCTCCCTAAACAAACAAAAAAAACAAACAAAAACCCTAAAATCAAAAGACAAAACAAAATACCGATGCCCCTAATGTCATCACTAATTCATCTAGCTTTCTATGGAAGGAACACATCTATCCAAAAATGCCTTTGGTTGGGAACAATTATATTCATTTGTTAAAGATGTAGTTTTTAGATTTGGGGAAACTGAGACTTGTGTTTTTTGTGCTGGTTGCAAATACATTCTTTAAACAATCTTCAGAGAAATAGCTCCAGTCCAGCTATAGCTTTGACTCCTCTCACTCACTACAATCAAAATGAAACCAAAATCAAACATTTTCCTAAGCTTCTGTCACGATAACTCTCATAGCACCCCATTATTTATTCTTTCTGGCTGGAGACAGTCTGCCTACTATTAGAAACGTGTTTCACATAAGTATAAAATGGAAAATTTAATTACACTATTTTCAAGTTTTCACACACACAAAAAAAGTGAAATTGAAAATAAGCAAACAAACCACTATTTGGATAGTTCAGAATATTAATTGGATAAAAGATCAATTTTCAATTCAATCCAATGCAACAGATATTTACTTAATTGACTACTAGATAAATGGCACATGTGGAAGGTATTAGAGCTGCAAAGGGAAAAAAAAGTGCCCCTGACTACAGTGAAGTTGTATTTTATTCAGTACATGTAGGTTAGCACGATTTCCTATGTGGCCTGTATGAATCTGCAAAACACTGTAAGTAGTTGAAAATTTCAAAGAAAACCAAAAAGCAGATTTAAAAAAAAATAAGAATCTGTTCCCAAATGACTTCCAGAAAAGACAAATCTGTTATGTCCTTAATTCTTAATATCCTGCTAATGACTGTAGTCTAATGCATGACTCATGAGCCTGAAGTGGATTTTCATCATATTCATGACTACATGTACAAAGTACAGTCCCCATCTTCCACTGAAAAAGCTCGGGGGCTCATACAAAATTGCTATTTCATAGGTTCAGCAGGGCCACTCTTGTAATCCCTGATTCAAAGAAAGAAAATTATTTAGGAAAACCAGATGATAATATACATACAAACTGATCTACAAAGTCCCTAGCATACATTTTCTCAAGCAATTCAGAGCCCATGGCTCTCAGCTTGTTTTATGTCTTTTAATGCTCATGCTAGTTAAAAGGGGGATGCATTTGGGAGTTGCCATTATTGTAATCACTAAGTGACTGCAGGGTTAATTCCTCTAGGAGCTCTGTGAGGGGAAAGGTTCTTGCATCTAGCCCTCATTGTCTGCTGAACATGGGATTACATTGTTTGAAAATAGACAAAACAAACAAGACAGCCTTCATGGGACTGAAATACTTTGTATGTGTTGTTATTTGCAGTGCATGCCAAGACATTCATGAGCACCAGAGCTGGAGAGCTAATTAAGTATATATATGTATGTGTTTAAAACAGCCTAATAAGGAGCATTGGAAATCTGCAAGATGAGCGAATATCTTATAACTTCTTCCGCAGGTGCGAGGATAGCTACAAGCCATGGACTTTCTGTCCTGCTTCTTGTTTGTGGCTTTGTGAAGGGTGCTTTGCTTTAATCTAAAGTGCTGACTTTTTTCCAATATCACTTTCTCTTCTTAAAGCAAAGAGCAAATCGCCTGTAAAATCTTCGGAGCGGACAGCAAAGTTGACCCTAAACTCCAACCATCACTCTGCACCCAATGTACTCTAATTCTCTACACAAGGAGCACCTTCTTCAGGAAGTTAAAAAAATAAAACAAAAAAAATTAAAAAAAAACAAAAAGTTAAAAAAAGAAGAGGATTGCCCACGTTTTATTAATAATATTTTCTTTGGCAGACCACTGAGCTTTCAGTTCAAGAGGACTGGTGTAAAGTGGTAGGACATTTTGTAACAGCAAGACTTCTTTTCCTTTTCTTTCGGCAAGTAAGAAGCACTGTATCACTGACTGCTCAGGGGTTGGCCTGTAAGTCATCAGTATGATAATTGTTCGCTGCGGATATCCTTGATTTCCACTAGGTAACACCATTTCTGCACTGGAGGCAAACAGAGACCAAAAATAAATAAATAAAATACTACAGTATATCCTCAAACATCAGTGAAAACCTGCCTTTTGGGGAAGGCACAAAAATATTGACATGACAAGTCAATGTATAGAACATTAACTTAAGGCAGAAAAAAAAGAAAAAAAAAGAAAAACACATGGACAAGAATGGAGGTTTTTTTGTATTTTTTTTTTTTTAGATTTTTCTTCACTTGTGTTGGGGCTCTTCTTTTTCATTTCTTTCTCTGTTTCTCTCTGTCTCTCTCTTATGGTTTCTATTTCTTGTTCAATGGTGGCAAGTGCTGACTAAGGTCAATCCCTGTCAACTGTGTAGAGGTTTCTATAAATACATTTTTTGAGTGTTCTCTATTTCATTGTGTTTTATCTAATTTTGCAATTCCTGTATATGCAAAACTGACATAAATTCTGTAAATTGCTTATGGTACATGTGATATAACTTCAAAGTAGGCATAATATGATCCTCATGCAAGCCAATTTTTAATATAATATGTATCTATATCTATATGTCATGCCACCAACAAACATCTTTATTTCCTTTTCTGATGAAGCATACTACTTTAATTTGTAATTAAGTATTGTGTGAATTTGGTAATACATGAATTCACTTCCACTGGTTTGACACTTGCAGATGTCTGCTAATTTCTGTAAAATGCACATTAAAATTTGTAATGGTCTCTGAAAAATGAACTATTTCAGTTGTGTGTATAATGTGTTGGAGTTTAATATGTGCCCTTTTTACGTATGTTGGTTTTGGGGTTTGAGGGACTTTTTCCAGAAGAATGTAAACTTTTTTTTTATACAGATTAAACATAGAGAGGAAGGAAGGAAATGAATGTTTCCTCCAAGAAGATTTGCTTGTAATGTGAGCACAGGGAAAGTGATTTGATCGCATTGATTTCTATAGTTCACTGAGAATTTTGCCTTCTATGATTGACATCATTGGTTCTTTCATCCATTCTGGATCTCCATAGCACCATTGTCCAGTCGTATGTTGTTAACTGAATTTTGTTTTGTCTCTAAATTAAAATTTGGTTATTGTGTGGAAATAATATGCACATGATAAATCAAAATAATGGATAAAAGGTAAAGGGTCCATCTTTCTTTGGTGAAGTGAGAATGATTGAGTATCCTACTTCCTATTTTGCTCCTTTAAAAAAAAAAGAAAACAATTTTCTTCAGCATCTAGTTTCTTTCTGGAAAAGAAAGATAAGTATGACTGTCATTGTGTATATGTAAGCTCTACTATAATATGTGTCAGGAAAGAAAAATATGAACAATTGGAGCTTTCCTTCCATATTGGTCCCTCAATTTTTCTTTCCCTGTAAAGAGGGAAGATCATCTATTTATGATCACTTCCTGCTCTTGGTCTGATGACCTGAACTGAAGTTTTAAAATGACTATGTTTCACGGTTTACAGGTAATGCACTGACTGGTTCTGTGACTGGACACTGAACAATGCAATATGGTTCAATGCTTTCAATGTATTTGTCTGAGAAATGATGTCTTGTGCCATGCATTTCTTCTCTATTCATTTGTTGATCTGTTTGGTTCTCTGATCTTATAGAGTCTAATTAGAAAAGCTAAAGAAAAAGAGATTTTATTTACACTAGCATAAGAAAAGAGCAATGGTATTTTTAGGAGGTTTTATCTATCAGAAATATATTTTCCTTTAAAATTACATTTACAAAAATCATGGAAAGGTGAAAAGAAAATGTGTTTTTAACCAAATCAAACAGGACCAAAGTTTATGCTGAATGCTCACCTGAGCCTCCCTCTGAGATTAATGAATAAACCCAGTAATGTAGAATTGGGCTCAGCCACTCAACATTAATGAATGGAGGGTAATCCTAACCCTAAAACTGAAGGTCATTTGGAAGTTCAAGCCCTGAGATTAGTCATGACTAAAGAAAGACCATAGGCTTGTAATTTTCCTAACTGCTGTTACTCTTTTTTTCAGTGTGAAGAGATGCTATGTAGTCAGGAAGGACCTAGTAATAGAAATAACTCTGTCCTTGCCCAAATCTAGTGAAATCAACTCTACCACTGACTTAATGAGGGTCTTTTTTTCCCTGAAAGATCATTTGCACATCATACAGTGGCCCCAATCTTTAAAAATCAATTAAGTATCTTAAACATTGTAATAGAAACTAGAATTTGTTAAGGAGGCCTTCAGATATTTTATGCCTCATATTGTGTCCTTCTGGGACTATGACTTTGTATGTAACCATGATTATGGCAATACAAATAAAGGTTGGAAAAACATTGCTATCTGAATTTCTCAACATTGGTTTCAAAGGTTATGTGTTGGCTTCAATAAAAGGGAATGATGATGTTTTCAAAAGATATTTTCCCCTATGACCGACTTATGTTACTTTTTATTTTCTATTCTTCATTGGATATTTATTCCCTGCCTACTTCCAAAAGGATTCAAGGTGGCTTCTAATTTAATATTATAACAACAATATAAAGATCCACCATTTCAAGAATGTGTATATTGTGTCTACTTATTCAGATACACACTCTACTCATTTTTAAGAGGTGCTATAACCCCCCACCCCAATTATTTACCTCGTGGCTAATCTCCTAGGAGTGATCCTCTTACCAGACTTGGTTTTCAGATGGCCAACATTTAGTCCATTAATAAGTGTATATATAAAGGGGTTGTTGTTTTTTTTTTCCTTCAGTTTTCTAGGACTTACCAGAGATTGTGATCTACTTTCATGGGCTTTGAGAACTTGGAGTACCTTTCATGACATGATGAAGCGTTAATATAGGACTTGACTGGAGGATAATGAAAAAGCAAGGGTAAAAACAGAATGAAGTACTTCTAAAACCATATGAACTCATTATTACAATTTTGGGAGCCTGAATTTTGCCATAAAGTTTCTTGATTGCTAAAGCAAAAAGGGGGAAAAAACTATATTCTTTAACAAGCAAGTATACAAATCCATCTGGAGAGATTAATTTTTTTCTTGGTATTGTATACAAATAAAGATAGATTGATGGGGTCTCCCCTTATTTGAAAGACATTGGATCACTGGGTTGGCAATACTTGACTTCTAAGAAAGATGCAGGAATAGCATTATGATGGGTAGTTCTTTTATCTTTGAAGGATTAGTGCGTAATGTTAAATCATCCTAACTTGCTAAAGGTATTTTATAATAAAAAGGAACTGTTAGATCTTCTACATTACTTTTTTTCTCATAGTTTAACTTGCTACAGTGATGGAGTTGAGAGAATCCAAATAACTCTCAATGAGAAATAGTATATCCACTTAGGTTGTTCAACATTTCTCAAGATACCACAGAAACTAGATTCTGTCTTATTTCTCCCATTAAATAATCTCCTTTACTTGAAAATGAATATACATTACTCAGCAAAAACAGCAAAAAAAAATAACTAATTTAATGGTTCCTAAACCAAGGACTAGCCCCAAGACTTTGTTTCTGGAGTTTTCAGTTACTTCTTGGAGGGAGTAGAAGAGCAAACATAAAAATATTGGATCAAAAATGTTTTTTAAACTGATAAAACAAATCCTCCACCATGTTTAAATTATTCTTTTAATGCTGATCTAACACTAATGAAAAGAAAAAAAAAAAGGCTTCCCAGGGAACCATCTTATTGCTGCATATGTGACTTAATACAGCATTCAATGGACCTCCTTATAAAAACTAAGTCAAACAGGCATTGGAATAATAAAAATTTTCCCCAGGTAATCCTTAATTGTGCTCAAAACTTGAAAGAAGGAAGTGGCAGATGATTATAATAGCTCTGAGTCTGGAGAATTATACTTAATTCATTATATACTTTTCCCCCCCAAAAAAGAAGAAAATTCCTCTTAAATAATTTCTTATTTCTGTTGAGATTAATATCATTCTTCCAGTTAGGAAGTTCATCCTCTACTTTTCCTCTACTTATCTTCTTACTGTACTCATCCTCACCCCACATATCTAATCAGTTGCCAGGATTTCTGGACTTAAACTCTATGACATCTAGATTTGGCTCATTGTATCAGTTCATAGGGCCATCTCTCTAGTTCTGGTCTTCATAATCTCTCACCTAGATTATCATAACAGCTTCCTAATTCATTTTACTTCCTTCCATCTTCCTCTTACCCATCCTCCATGTTGTGGTCAAAATTATATTCCCAAGGCAAATATCTGACCATATTATCACTCCCCTCCTTACCAAATATCTCCATTACCTCAATATTTAATCTGGATTTAATATGAACTTTTCTGAATAGTATTTAAGGTTCTTTAGTAACTGACTCAAGACTATTTTCCTAGGCATTTTACAATTTACTCATTTTTATGCTCCTAGCATTCCATCTAGCCTACCCTATTTACTTGTATTCAAACATCACAATATATCTCTTGCCTCTAAGGATTGTGCATGCTGTGTATGCTGTTCTTTTTTCATGGAAAACACTCATTTCTCATATCCTCATCTTAGACCTCCCAGATTCCATCAAAGCTCAGCTCAAATGCCACCTACTGCACTGAGTCTTTACTAATTCCCCACTAGGTGCTAATGTCCCTCCATCCATATTTTCCTTGGCATGCACTTGGTATCTGCTTAGATTTTTATGTGGCACTTCCATCAAGAGAAGTAAAATCCTAGATGGCAGGGACTCTGTTTTCCTATC